TTAATAATAATATAAGAATCCTCGCGATACGATACTCGAGTTGTCGTTACTGTAACTACATTTAAAATTTACTCATTTTTGATATGTGCGCGACATCGGATCAAATTGGCATCATTGTCGGAGATTCTTGTTGTTATTAACCGATATTAGAGTCATAGGTTTAGTATTATTGCTAGTTTTTTTCATGTTTTTTTTGTCGTGTTTGTTGGTTTTCAGGATTGTAATTCAGGTTGTAGTACAATGACAAGTATTCCAACCTACCAGGTAAATTTGAAAGCTACTGTTTTGATTTGCTCCAAATTTTTTCCAGAAGTTTAGAAAAAAATTAAAGAACTGTACCGACCCTCAAAATCTCAAATTCCTCTTTTTTTCTATTTTTAATTAATTTTTTACTGTTTTCACAGTTACAAAATAAATCCAAAAAAATTCTTAAAATTCTTATTTTTCTTCATTAGATTAATTTTGGTGTTTTCATATTTTTCTGAATTTTTTAAATCATTTTCCTTCTTTGTATTTGTTTCTGCCTTATAGGAACATTATTGGTATTTTCAGGATTGTTGCTGCGTTGCTGCATTAGTCCTGGATACTAGGTCTTCTTGTTATGAATTTATTTTAATCATATTTCTTCTTTCGTGTCAAATAAAATCTAAAAAAAATCTAAAAAAATGGGAGACTCATTGGATCAGTTGGCTTATCTTATTAATTTGATGGAAGCAAGAGAACAATAATCGTGCTATCAAAATCATATTCCACTTGCGATTTGCAATATTTATTCTTCAAATTTTCATGGTAATGATGCATGTCCTATGTTGTTGGATACTAATTTTTGTTGTGAGGCCCAAATGGTAGGTGATCTTCAAGGACAATACTCATATCTTGAAGAGCATCCTATTTGGCCATATCAACAATTTCAACAAAATGCATCATTGGAAGCTGACACACAATCATATTTGGAAGAAATTATCAAGCAAATGGCTGAAAATAATAAGCAAATGACTAAAAATAGTTTGCAATTTCAACAACATATGCAATCTACGCTTCCAGTTATACAATTCCAAGTTGAACAAATAATCTTAAGCGTCCCTCAAATTCAAGAAAGTGGGATGTTTCATGATAATGTATAACCTGTTGCATTATTAGAGGTAACACAATGTGATACCAGTCTTGATGAATTTCCAGGTGAGCCCATTAGAACAGTGTTTGTTTCATCCGATGAACACATAGTAAGAAACAAAAGTTCAAGTGAATACATGAAAGAGATTATACTACAAAATTTCTTGATATCTGATATGGATGAATTATATACTTCCCTTAAAGTAGATAGCTATCTTGAAACTTTTGCTTGTGAATGTGTTGTTTGTAATGTTTGTCATGAGATCAGTGCAACCATTTTAGGTGAAGATAGTTTGATGCCGAAAACCACTTGTGCAGAAATTATAGCAAATTCAACAACACTTGAATTTGACACCAAAAATGTGGATTTTTGCCATAAGCAACCATTGTCCATAGGAGAATTTTTTTGGGTGGAAACTCTAATTAAGCCAAACAACATGGAGTTATCTTTCACCATTTATGCATTTCTTCCACCTATTTTATGTGACTCACAAGCTAAATGTTGATTTTCTATTTTTTCATACTTTTGTTATTACAGGTTTATCATATGTGCAAGCTATTCCTCCTAAGCCACCAGATTTTTTTTACTAATATCAAAGTTCACTTGCTATTTACTTTTTCATATATCATGTGTTCGTAGTGCAGAAAGGCCTCCACCAAAACCACCAGACAGGAAAGGCTACTTATGCGGACATCTATCCACATTGACTACTCAGGTGTGTTCTTTCCTCTCTCTCGTCTCTCTTATTGTATATTTGTTTCTTTCATTGAGAACAATGCTTGTTTAAAGTGTGGGGGAGGGAATCATTTATTTTCTTTATTTTCTTTGCTTTTGTTCTTTCTTTTGTTTTGTTTTTGGTTCAATAAAAATATTGCAATTTCTTTTAAAAAGTTTTAGGCTATAGATTAATTTGAGGTTAGTTACAGAGACTTGGGAAAAGTTCGCAAGATCGATATCGTCTTAACACCATAAGTCTCCTGTATATGAAAATTAATTTGAATACTCATTATGACATAACCTTTAGTTCTCATCTTTTAATAGCCCTTGAGTAGTTTATCTTAGCAGTCGGCACCATCTCACACAGGCTCTACGTAAGGAAGTAAATGAATATAAGTGAGTGATCCAAAGTTTTAATTGAAAAAAAAGGGAATGCACCATCTAAAGGTTGTGGAACCTATAAAAACATGATAATAAGACCCTTTGTTAGTTGGTTCAGAGGTATCTGGTGCTGAACTTGGTGGGGCAGATTACGGTCCGATCCCCCGCAACTACAATTGGGTAAGCAAAGGATTATACCACTCATGTGCCATAATCCCGTGCAAAAAGGATTAGAGTCACTAACCGGTCGCCTTATTATGAGTGTGTGAAGATAACATGCTTAATATGATTGCGCCAGGATGAAAGAGAGCAAAAAGGAGGATAAGTAAGTTAGGCTTTGGCATAATAACATGATTCAAATTGGGTTGTATATTCAAGAGGCCTATGACTGCACAATTATGGAGTAGTCTTCTTACAATATCCTTAGTGTGCAAGATTAGTACCTATCGATGCAATTTTAACCGAAGAAGAGTTTATAGCATGGAATGAGTAACTGATGATGTTGTTGTGTTTCTTTTTATTTTATTTTGCTCGGAGTACAAAAGTTCAAATGTGGGGGAATTTGATCAGTGTATTTTGATGCACATTCTTCCATGTTTGTACTTAATCATTTCTATGTTTTACTTTGTTTATTTTTATGTTTTATAATGTTTTTCTAATTTAGTTTATTTTTGGTTTTATTTGATTTTCGTATTTTATTTTCAGCATTAGCAGCTTTTAATGAAAAAATCATAACTGGAGCTACGAGAATCAGATTGACGGACTCTAATATTCATTGAAAAGCTAAGAGAAAGTGCTACAAATTTCATGTTGGAGTCAAAATTTTATTCGACATGCATAAGTCCCAGTAATTTGTTGAAGTTTCAGACCTTAGAGAATAATTTGTTTTTGGATCTTTTTAGTGGGTCTGGGTTATATTTTTGACCGGTTTCGTTTTGTAAGTGGAAACCCTCATTTTATTTTATAAGGCTTGTAGCTGCTAGAGAGACTATTATTCACTTTTCACAACGAAAAATATTTTGCTTTGTATGCTTGCTATGGAGAACTAATTTCCGAAGGCAAATGTTGTTGCTTACGGGTTCCATTACTTTAAGGTTATTCTAATACCAATATAAATTTGATTTTTGTTCAATTCTTCTCTATGAAATCATTTGCTTAATTTGATTGAAATTGTTTGCTTAATTCAATTGTTGTTCATAGGATAATTGATTAAATTCGATTGCACGCATGTTTCTAAATTTAATTATGTGTTATCATTTGCTTGATTCACTAACTCATCATATTCTTAACCGTTTGCTTAATCTGGTAATAGGAACATAATTTGTATAATTTTGATAAGCGTTTATCTGATTGATATCATAATCTAATATGATCGAAACCGTTTAGGGATTGGTGTTATCTTAACCGATGATAAGTCAGAACCCGAATTAATAGGATTGGCCGTTTTAGCTTATTGAATAATCACTTATTTTAATCTGTTTTTACAATTAGACCCTAAAACCAAACCACCCAAATTTGATTCCTATTAGTTAATAATAATACAAGAATTCTCGTGATACGATACTCGAGTTGTCGTTAACGTAACTATATTTAAAATTTACTCTTTTTTTATCTGTGCACAATAGCGGATTATTCTCTCCCAAACTTATCTTTTTCTTTCTTCTTTTCAATAGTAGTGATTTGTTTGAAATAGTATTTTCATCAAATATTTTTTGGATATGTCTCAAGAGCTTTTTGACTCATTAGCTAAATCCTTAGGCTGGTTTTCTTGTGATTTGACTTTTTGTTTCAATTTATTCTTTCGATTTGACATATTTTTCAAAAGTTTTCTTGTGATTTGGCTTTTTGTTTCAATTGATTCTTTCAGTTTGACAGGTTTTTCAAAAGTTTACTCAATTCACTAGGTCATGTTAAGGATTTTTGGCTGAGTGGTTTTTCTCAAACATAAGAAATTTCCTTGGTTCTTTTTTATGCTTCCACAAAAATTTCAAAATAATTGTTAGGTTCCACATTTATTGATCGAGTTTCAATCAAGTATTAATTATAAGTTACTTTCTATTAGTGCACAATGGAAGGCTCCTCGCTTTTTCAGTTTTTCGCATATATGATTCAAGCAAGAAGGTATGTGTTTGTAAAATTGAAGCAATAAAGATATTTGCTAGAACCACATATTTCAAAATCATGCTATCATTCTACAAAGCTTTATAAAACATGTATGAATTTTGTCCAAATTTTATCATTACCACTCATGTTTGTTGAATATATGAAAATAGATTTTGATTCTTCGGCTATTTTAAACTTTTGATGAGGATAACAAGAATTGAGATTCTTGGCATAATAACACATTTAATAACAGAAGCAAATTTTTTAAGACAAACGTACGACGTACCAACCGTTTAGAAAAGAATACCAAGTCAAGAAGGGTTACGACATATGATACCGTCAAAACATACATAATAAGTGCATAAAATAATAAACTGAATCTGAAAAGTATTAAAAAACTGAAACTGGAAGCTTTAAGGTATCAGTCATTTTATGGCGAGATTTCAGTTTTGTCCTCCTCTTTATTTGTCTCTCATTTCTTCATCATCACCGGCTTCAGGTGCCATTTAGGAACCACCAGCATTTCCTTTTTCATTATCTGGTTCAACCTCCACTTCTTCTTCATTTTCATCTCCATGACCAGATGCCCCCCCTGGTAGAATGGCATGTCCCCAGGCCATACAATGTGTCTTTGAAATGCCTCCAGAGTCATCATTTGGTGGGCTGCATCAGGCTGCACTATTTTCTAGATTTGTAACCTGTAAATAGAATCACGTAAAGAAACAACAACTCTATGGTTTGAATCATTTTGATACCAAGTATAAGTAAAATCTTGGCAGAGTCTCAGATCCCAATCATTGTAGTTCAGAGTGTCAGATGAACTCTGCCCCGTTTGCTCTAGTTGTTGTGTTTTCCCTCTTCTTTTTTTCTTCTTCCAAGCAATATATATCCACATATATGTCATTAACCATGGTTTTGATCTTAAAGTGTACCATATTTGGAATTCGCACACATGAAGCAATGAGTAATCCCATGATGAGACCAGGAAACACAAGAGGACAAGTGGTTTTGGTTCCCGCTCCAAACTCCTTACCACTTTCAACAACATGTCTCATTTCATTAACAGTTATTTGAGCATGATCAATTCTCTTTGCTGCCATGATTAGATAAAGAAGTTGGTTCGTATCCAATGTGAAAGTGAAGGTGTGGCCTCTATGCCTGACGTTGTGCAAAATGAATAGGAGAAAGACTTCAGCTTCCGGGAGTAAATCCACCCTATGAAACCTAATTGCTACACCAGAATAATTTCTTTCCACACTCCGCCCGTCCAAAAGGATTCTCTCATAAATCACCTCGACATTTGGTGCAATATTTATGGATTCTTAATATCGAAACATCTGTCCTTCCTTAAAGACTAGAGGATTTCCCAAAAATTCACTAATGGCATCCCTATGAAATTGAATCGTCCTCCCCCCAACCTTGGTTGAGAAGGAGAATGTAGTTCCTACTGAGGGAAATGCATTGACATAGAATTCTTGAAGCACATCACTATTTATGTTGTAGTGAGGGCTCAAGAATGTATCCCATTTATGTTTGGCCCACTGATCACTTAAGGACCTGTAGTCTCCTTCAGAATTGATCTCAAAAGTTATCTTAGACCAAATGCTCCTTCCAATTAGCTCATCATACCTATCTTGTTGCTCAGGTTCAAGAAATTTTGTTCGATCAAAGGGTTCTTGAACTCTTGAAGACTCCGCCTCTATGGTTTTCTACTTCTTTTAGGTAACAACTCTCTTTAGAGCCATGTTTGTAACAACATAAACAACATATAACTATTTTGTTAACAAACTGATTTTTTTTTGTATCAGGGAATGTTCACTTAGCGAATTAAAGTTCTCTTAGCAAACTCTGATTTCTGGAAAAACATGGTTGACAGATTTCTAATTTCTGATTCTTTTCTCTTTTTGTTAAACCAAAACGTTTGATGTACTGAAACTTTGTTCATTCAATATATTTCAGATTATGTTCATATTATGAACATATTAAAACATAAAGTATGTACTATGGAACATGATAGTTAACCTAGTTTTAACCATAGATGAAAAACAATGTGAATTCCAACACTATAGTTTCAAAAAATCAAAAGAAAGTGACAGTATGTAAGAGTGACAAAAGTGTTTAACATAAAAGAGTGAGAAAAAGAATAATAGTATAATAAGTAAAAGATGATGAGGGTTTTGGATCTTGTATACCTGATGTTGCTGCAAATTTTGGAGATGGAGAAGAGAGAGGAATTATGCACAAGTCAATAAAGTGAGGGAGTGAAGGTGTGAAGTGAAAGAGTGATAAGTGTGAAGAGTTTCTAGGGTTAAAAAGAGAGAAAAGTGAAAAGTATTGAAAAGTGAAGCATTTACGAGACATAAAGGATGGTAGGGAAGTAGGTGTTGTCATTTAATGGTCATAATGACAGGTTTGATCACCACATGTTCGCTTCCCAAAAAAAAGGTTCGCTTAGCGAACTTTCTAGGTTCGAACGTTCGTTTAGAGAAATAACTTCGCTTAGCGAACTCTGCAGCATTTCAGAATTCTGTAGAATTAGCAACCTGCTACACCAGTTCCTTTCTGGGGCCTTTAAAGTTCTCTAACATAAAACAAAAAATACTTATATAGTCGGGTTGCCTCCCGAAGAGCACTTGTTTAATGTCATTAGCTTAACGCTTTGTGACTTTTATGGTTTGTGCAACGAAATTATGGTGGTAACTCGATCAATCTCACCACCTAAGTATAACTTCAGCCTTTGACCATTAATTGTCCAAGTTGCTTTAGAATTTGGATCCTTAAGTTCAATTGCTCCATAAGGCTTGATGTCCTTTATTTAGAATGGCCCGTACCACTTTGATTTTAGTTTTCCAGGGAACAATCTTAACCTAGAGTTAAAGAGTAAAATCATTTGAACTACTTTGAAGTCTTTGGGTAGGATTCTACTATCATGATATCTCTTCACCCTTTATTTGTATAACTTTGAAGATTCATAAGCTTGTAGCCTTAATTCATCAAGTTCATGCAATTGAAGTTTCCTTTTTGCACTGGCTTGTTGTGAATCAAAATTGAGGGACTTCAAAGCCCAAAAAGCCATGTGTTCTAATTCAACCGGCAAATGGCAAGCTTTACTGTATACCATTTGAAATAGAGTAAGGCCTATTGGTGCTTTATACGCGGTACGATATGCCCAAAGAGCTTCATCAAGCTTTAATCACCAATATTTTTGTGAAGTTGAAACTATTTTTTCCAAGGTTCTCTTTATTTCACGATTAGATACTTTCGCTTGTCCATTCGTTTATGGGTTATATGGTGTTGCAACCTGGTGTTTGACACTGTAATTTTTCAAGAGCTCTTGCAAGTTATGCGTTATAGAAATGAGAGCCTCCATCACTAATCAATACTCTTGGTGTGCTAAATCTTGTGAAGATGTTCCTTTTCAAGAATTTCACCACTGTTTTGCTGTCTAGTTTTGGTAACACAACAACCTCTACCCATTTGGATACGTAATCAACCGCCACTAAGATGTATTCATTGGTAAAAGATGAAGGAAAAGGTCTGATAAAATCAATCCCCCAACAATCAAACACCTCTACTTCTAGCATGCTTTGTAGTGGAATTTCATTTCATTTAGAAATTCCACTAGGCCTTTGACAATTATTACAACTCTTGTAATGTTCATATGTATCTTTGAATAGAGAAGGCCAATAGAATTCTGCTTGCAAAACTTTGGCAGTTGTTCATTCTCTGTTATAATGACCGACATATGGTGAATTATGGCAATACCATGTGATGCTTCTTGCTTTTTCTCTAGTAACACATCTTCATAATAACCTATCAACTATGATTTTAAACAAGTACGAATCATCCCATACATAATGAGTGGCATCGCGCAAGAATTAATTCATTTGTTTCCAATTGAGATCTTCTGGAATAAGACCAGATGCTTTATAATTTACAAGATCCATAAACCATGGTCCTTCCTCAATCATGAGCAATTTTTCATCGGGAAATTCTTCAAGTACTTCTCTTTCTTCTTTTATAATCTCAGGATTCACCAATCTTGATAGATGATCCATAACCAAATTCGCAGTTCTTTTCACGGATCTCTAAATCAAATTATTGTAAAATGAGCACCCATCAGATTATTCTTGGTTTTGAATCTGCTTTGTTGATTAAATACTTGATCATTGCATGGTCAGTATAACAAATAATCTTAGACCATATGAGATAAGACCAAAAAATTTCTAATGCGTACACTATAGCAAGCAATTCTTTCTCTGTGGTCGCGTAGTTAACTTGTACATCATTTAACACTTTGCTTGAATAATGTATATCATGAAAAACTTTGGTTTTTCTCTCTCCTAAAACAGCCCTGACCGCGTAATCACTTTGTTGTACCCCAAAATTTGCTCTCTCCCTTTTTCACAAAGAAATCACAGCTTCGGGCTTTTCCTGATTTTTCAGATTGGCTCAAGAATCGGTCAAACAGACTTTTCTTATCAGTCAAACAAAATTAGGGTTTCCATTAACTTTTGAATCAGTCTAAGCAGATTATTAGGGTTTTTAGTGATTTGGTTGAGTTTGGCTCAGGGTTTGATCGAACAGACGCTTCTTTAACAGTAAATCCCCAAATTAGGGTTTGCGCGCGCATTCTCAGAAGGAATTAATTCTACAGTTCTTTTCAATTGACTGTCACATGGTTTTGACGTTTGTTCAAGATTTATGTTTGTCTAAACATCTGGGATATGGGTTGAGGCTTCTGATTGAAAGTTTGAAGTTTAAGTTTGATCAGTGAGGTAAAAGACATATGGACGTTTGATTAACTGTGCAATACATTTGGTTATTTGGAATGTCGGGTTTATTATTGGTTAATGCAAGACAGTGAGACTGCGACGTTTGTTGATCATTTATAATTTCTAAGTTAAGATTATTGGGATAATTTCCAATTATTATAATTCAAGAAATTTAAGTAATTAAATAAACAAGCGCATAAGAATTAAAGAATTAACTGACAAAAAGATTTTTATTCATTTTCAATTGTTGTTACAAATGTTTATTTAATACAGTAAATTTATTTACAGTGTTACAATGACGTTTATTACAATGATTAAAAATAAATTAAATCTATATCCTAAGTTGCTTGAACTCTTCATCTTCTACTGCTGCTTCCCTTGCCCCAATTAATATTCACCTGCAAAGCCAGAAAAAGAGAAGTCAAACACAGATGAATTTGGAAAAGTATTTTTCAGACAGTTAATCAAAAACTCATCATTAAAGGTGTTGGCCGGAATCAGTTTGTGCGTCCTCTCTGCAAATCGCAAGAAGATGTCTCTTCTTGGTTCACAAAGAGGGAAGTAAAATGTTTGCAAGCATATGAATTAATTAAGCAAAATGCACAAAGATGCATAAATTCAAACAAGGCAAATTGAACAGCCAAGTTACAAACAAGCTGCACATGTGCAAACTGAAAAATGCCAAACCAAGTCACAAGTGTAAACAATGGCAAACTAAGTTACAAGAAGTTGTCAACAAAACTGTCCAAAGAAACCGTCAAAAGGCTGTCAAAGAAGATATCAAAAGCAATGCAGAAAATCTGGGAGATAAGTACAAGATGCAGAGGAAAGCTAAAGTGGCAAGCAAGCAATATTGTCAAAACTTTCATCATTTTCCAACCAACACCTTTTCAGAAAAAAAGGACAGTTAAGCAATAAAATATGCTTTTTCTGTGGAGAGAGAAAGAGAGAGAGAAGTAGAGGCTTACAGTTTGCAGGCTTAGGAGATAGAAATATAACAAAGAGTTTCAGTTCAGAAAAGGGGGCAGAACACAAAAGAAAAAAGGCCACAAACTGTAAACACTCTTCAACAGGCCTAAAAACCTGTTACAGCCTTCCAAGCGTGTATCCTAAGCAAGCAAACAAACAGCCTGCTTGTTACCAACAAAGTTACAAACTGCACCCAATCTGCAAAAAACACAAGCCTTTTAAACCTGCATAAAACAGAAGCCTTGAAGCCTGTAACCAAAAAACACAAGCAAAACAAACTGCAACCAGAAGCAAGCCTAAGGCAACAAGCCTTGAGGCCTGTAACTAGCAAACCTGCTTGCCTGCATACAACCTGCTCAAACCAAGCGAGCAAGCATAAGAAGCAAGCCTTTCAAGCCTGTATCCTAAACAAGCCTGTCAAACTGCCAGTTTCAAACAAACAAGTTTGCCTCAAAGAAGCAAGCCTCCAAGCCTAAAAACCTGTTACAGCATGGAAGCCTGCTTTTAAACCTGTTAAAGCCTTCAGCTTGCCTAAATCAAATAACCAAACTCAAGCAAGTCCAAATATCAAAACAACAACTGAAACACCAACTCAGAATCATCATCATCATTGAAAAGGCCAAGCCTAAAAGAGAGGAAAAGAAAAGTCAGAAGCAAAAACAACACTGGAGCAAGCAACTCAGAAGCACAAACATCTCAGAAAGCTACCATCATTGACAAGAAAGAGAGGAAGAAAGCCAACAATAAATAATCTTCAGAGATAAGCTCATCATCAGAACAAAGCATGTATTCAGAGAGGAAAAGAGTCAGAAACGTACTCTAGGGTTTTCAGATTATAGCATTCATCACAAAACCATTCAAAAGAAAGATACGAGGTTACCAGAAAAGCCAACATCACAAGCTCCCACGCCTTGGCCGCCTAAGAAGCCTCCTGTCCAAACTCTCCTTCTCCTTTCCAAAAAGCAGAACCAAGGTATAAATTCCTCTTCCTTTTTTTTCTACACCTCACACAAACACAAATAACACATAAAGATCAGAATATGTAAAAGTTCAAAAACATGCATGAATCACAAACCTAAAACGCATTTGAAGAGAAAATCGTTACCCTTTTTGAATCATCGCCTTGAGAAACCGTGAGGAGGGGAGAGACTGGAGGTGGTGTCCAGTAGCCAGGCATGGAAGGCGTCAGAGGCTCTGATTGAGAAAGACGAAGAAGACAAGATGGAGAGCAGCGCCGTTCAAAACTGTGTAACCCTATTCTGAGCGAAACAACAACGAACCCTAACAACAAAAATTGTCAACATCCGTTTGGGCCTGCCCCCTTGAACAAACCCTTAAGCCCAATTGATTCTGGCACGTACCCCCCTTTGTTTTAATCAGCATTTGTTCTTTTATTTGGGCCTGCCCCTCATACTAATGCCTAAGCCCATTTAGTTTCCTTTTTTTATTTTCCTTAGGTTTATAAATCAATACTATTTTTTTCCTATCACTTTACTTTTTTCCATTTTTTATATATAACTTAAACTAATATTTTTGTTAAATAAAAATAATACATTAACTTTTTGCACAAAATTTTCTTAATGTTTATTACATTTTAAAAAGTAATAAATAATTAGT